GTGTGTCGTCAATGTAAAGACACAAAATGACATAACTATCTTTTGTGTCTTTGACATAAATACATTTGTCACGTTCATTGATTTTAATTCCACTCTCTATCATGAGATTATCAAATTTTCCATGTCATTGTTTGGGTGCTTGTTTCAAGCCATATAATGATTTCACCAATTTACAAACTTTCTTTTCCTACCCTGGTGATGAAAACCCCTCAAATTGTTCCATATAAATTTCTTCTTCTAAATCTTCATTTAAAAAGGTAGTTTTAACATCCATTTGATATACTTCAAGATTTCGCAAAGCGGCAATCGCAAGTATCAACGTAATGGATGTTATTCTCATCACTGGAGAATACGTATCAAAGTAATCAAGACATTCCCTTTGTTTGTAACCTTTTATTACTAATCCAGCCTTGTACTTTTCAATAGTTCCATCTGCTCTCATTTTCCTTTTGAAAATCCATTTATAACATAGTGGTTTGCTTCCTGGAGGAATATCCACTAGCTCTCATGTATGATTTTGCAGTATGGAATCTATCTCACTTTTAATGGCCTCCTTCCATTGAGGTCCTTTAGAGAAATTCACAGCCTCTTGATAATTTTGAGGTTCACTTTCTAGCATATAGGTTAGAAAATCAGGACCATACGATTTTTCTGTCATTTCCCGTTTGCTACGTCTAACTTTAGTCTTCTCTTCTAGTTCTTCGTTATGACTATTTTCAGTCATAGTCTCATATGTTCGTTTGGAGGAGCTTGCTTCCTCTTTGGACTTGTACGGAAATACATGTTCAAAGAATGAAGCATTTCTTGATTCCAATATCGTGTTTTTGTGTATGTCTGGGATTTTAGAATTATACACAAGAAATCGATAAGCACTACTATTGTGTGCATAGCCAATGAAGATGCAATCTATCGCTTTTGGCCCTATCCTTACCTTCTTTGGTGTTGGAACGACCACTTTAGCAAGACACCCCCCACACTCGTAAGTATTTATAGGAAGACTTTCTTCCTTTCCATAACTCATAAGGGGTCTTTTCTATTTTCTTTCGGGGCGCCTTATTTAAAAGGTAATTTGCTGATAACACAGCTTCCCCCCACATGTTCTGAGGTAACACAGAACTTACTAGTATTGCATTCATTATTCTCTTTAAAGTACGATTTTTTCGTTCAGCAACATTGTTTTGTTGTGGTGAATAAGGTGTGGTGGTTTTATGTATGATTCCTTGTTGTACACAGAATTTCGCAAATGGTGATTTATACTCACCATCTCGATCGCTTCTCTTAATACCTTAATCTTCTTATTAAGTTGAGTTTCAACTTCACTCTAATAGAGAACAAATTTCTCTATAGCTTCATCTTTACTTCTTAGCAAATATACATAACAGTATTTGGTGCTATCGTCGACAAAGGTAATGAAATACTTGTTGCCACCTCTTGTTTGTACAAATTTTAAGTTACATACGTCACTGTTAATTAAATCAAGTGGTTCTATATTCCATTCAATTGATTTAAACGATGACCTTGTCAATTTTATCTCAACACAAGTTTCACACTTATGTTTTGAATCAATGTGGAACTCGGGTATGCAATGCAATTCAAGTTAACTAGTTTTCGTAAAGTATCATAGTTAACATGTCCTAGTCTATCATGCCACAAATTGGAAGACTCAAGCAAATAAGCAGAAGAGTTTGCTTTATTCATTTTTTGTTTAACAACCATTACGTTGAGCTTAAACATACCGCCGGAAACATATCATTTTTCGATAAACATTCCACTTTTTCACGAAATAACTTTGTTTGACTCAAATACAATGCGAAAGCCATGCTTATTCAAAAGCGACCCGAACACTAGGTTCTTGCGAATTTTCGACACATATAGCACATTGTTAAGGGTCAGTTCTTTTCCCGATGTCATCTTTAGAACCACCTTTCCTTGACCTTTGATTTCAGAAGTTGCTGAATTTCCCATGAACAATTTCTCCCCATTCTCAATTGCTTCAAACGCTGCAAACAGCTCCTTATCAGAGCACACATGCCTCGTAGCACTGGTGTTAATCCACCACTCCTTAGGGTTTGAACCCACTATGTTCACTTCAGAAATGACAGCTGAGAGATTCAGCTCCGACACATCTTGTGTCATGTAGTCAACCACATTTACTTTTTTATTTTTCTTTGGCAATCTGCACTCCGAAAACTTGTGGCCCACTTTGTCACAATTGAAGCATTTCTCTTGAAATTTCTTCTTAGAAATTCCGCCTTTCAATCCTTGCTTGGTCCTTTTGCCAATGGATGACCCAGACTACTTTTGTAGGTCTTACTACTTTGACCATGCTTCACAACATTAGCTTTAGCAGCACCAGAATTGAACCACATATTTTCGGGACTCTTGTTGTCTTCTTCAATTCGAAGTCTAACAATTAGTTCTTCAACGTTCGTTTTCTTTCCCTTGTGCTTCAAATAATTCTTGAAATCTTTCCGCGTGGGGGGGGGGGGTGGGGGGGGGGGGGGGGGAGTTGCATGGTTGACTTTTGTTCAATGATGCTTCTCATGTTGGTGGCTATTGGAAAATACGGGTAATGGGTCGACCCAACCCGCAAGATTTTAAAAGGATTTGAGGGAGTGGTTTGAATTTGGAATTCAAATCTACAATGCCTTACAACCTCTATATAGAAGTTATGGAAAAAAAAAAAAGGTGGTGGCATGAAAAAAAAAAAAAGTGAATTTTCGTATGAAAATTCACATCAAAATTGGAAAGTCCATAAAACCATATTTTTAGCATGAAATCTCACAAAAATTGGCATTTAAATTGTGGATAATAATCCACTTTCATTGTGATCAGGATTGGGACTATTGGGCCACTTGCAAATTTCACTCAAAATCATCCCTTTGGCATGAATTTCGTGAAGAATCACTTGGAATCCTTGCACTTGACTGATAATTGTTTTGGAATCCACCATTTTATAGTCTAGGAATCTACCGACAATGAACTTTTTAGCTCCGGCATCCTCAATTTTATATTTTCGGTCTAAAGACTCCCATAGTTCCTTAGCAGTTTTCATAACACTATACACATTGTATAGCATGTTTGCTAAGCTATTCATAATATAATTTTGGCACAGAAAATTCGAATGGTTCCAAGCATCAAGTGCACTGATGGCTTGACATCTCCCTCACACTCATTGAATTTTGGAGCAGTTTCAGTTATGAATCTCGCAAGATTCAAAGTGGTCAGATAAAATAGCATTTTCTGCTGTCACCTTTTGAAATTCACACCATTGAATTTCTTCGATTTTTCTCCATGATTAACCGAAACACTAACAGTACGGCTAATTGTTGGAGCCACAGTTTGACTCACAACATGACTTGGCAATCTAACCATAACAGAGCTTGACACTTGAGCCACAGTTGAGCCCATAGCCTAATTTTCAGTAGGTACAGTTTAGGTCACATACATGTTGGTCAATTCGTTTGCCATTTCGTAAAATTAAACAAAAAAAATTAGTTTCTAAAATTAACAATATAAGAAACCAATTTTTATTTTACGAATCTGTTTTAAATTTGTTGGTAAATTTAATTTGTAGTGTATGGAGTAGAATCGGGTTCTCATGTACCGTATATGTGATGTATACACCGGATTCATGGCAATTGCTTACCGTATTTTGCAGTTCAATTCATCGTATATGGCAGCTTACCGTATATGCCAGACAGCTTACCGTATATGTTGCTTACCGTATTTACAGAAAACTCACCGTGTATGGCAGCTCACTGTATTTGTAGGCGAAGCTCATCGTATTTGTACAAAATTTGCATAAAGTATTTTTATTCATACACTAACTAAAACAACACAAATTTTTCCACTTACAAATAGAAATACATATATGTGAAATCTATTTTTCACACATAACGAATTGAGAAAAAAAAAATCTGTATTTTATTTTATTTTTTTTCTTTTAGAAATATATTTCTAACATAAATTTAACAAATAATAAATGAGACGTGTCAATCGCTAAATAAATAAATCTGCAAGAATAAAATGCAAACTAAATAAACAGCAGATAAATTTTCAACCCGAGGCATGTGTTAACACAGTTTCTTTAAAATATATTCGCCCCCTCACCGTAAGTGCTTGAGGTCTAGTCCAAGTGTCTGTTTCCCAGGATATAACGGCAAAATCAGCAGAATCTGAGCACTACAGAAACTACTCCGGCGAACCGATTTAGCTTCTGAACAGTATCACCACCACGAAGACTTCATTGGACAGAAAGAAGACGACGACAGAATCTGAAAATTTTCGTGCAGAGAGAATTTCGTGTGTTTTCCTGGTGAGATTTTTCATATATTTTATTTTTGGAAAACTTGATATTTAATATAGCATAAATCTGTCATTAACTCTATGGCAATTAACATTGGAGTCATTTCAATTTCTGGGAAAAAAATTGCAAAACATGGGCTCTCCGGAGGGGCCAATTTTTGCTCCGTTCGATCCGACATTCGTGTACGTAGGTCGCGCCCTACGTCCAAAGGCAATTTCGGTCCGAGATTTGCACTCCCCCTGTGCGCACACGTGGAGAGAGCCTCTATACTATACATGATTATACCCTTCCAAAGTACAACTATATTTAAAATGGTTCTTGCTTTCATATTTTTCCTATGTGGGATTAACTTCAATTTTTCCCAAATAACTATCTTCCGATGGTCATCTTTGAGCTCCAATTTCTCATTCATCAATTCATCAATTTTGACAAATAAATATATGGTTTCGATGCTCTCACGGAGAACAAGGATCAACTTCGATCTTCCAAATTAGACCAACAGGTCCCACCGAAAATTTTGCCAAAAGTGAGTCATTTACTCATTTTTTCCAGCAAAGCATCTGTAAGTAATTCCTCGAATGTGCTTCCATGCTCTTATTAGTCATTGATTCTCTGCTTATAATCAGAAAAATTCCATTTCAGTTGGTTTGGATGCAACAAGCTTTCAGGTACAATACCTGATATGAGTGGAATGAATGCTTTAGAAACTTTGTAAGCTCTTCAATTTTCACAACGGGATCTTCTAACCTAGTCGCGTTTTTTACATCTTAATTACAACTTAATACCCTCTACCTGATTAAGGCATTTGGAGAACAATCAACTACAAGGATCGGTTCCTACAAAATCACTGGGAGAATTTCCTAATCTGCATGAAGTGTAAGTTCTTCCACAGAACGTTTACATGGTGATCATTTTTTATGCTTAACACGCGTGCTATGATGAACAGACTTCTCCAAAATAACAAGCTCCAAGGCAACACCCAAACATCTCTGACAAAGAAAGATGGTGTTAACCTCAAGTAAGTCCTGATCTCAGAACGCTTTACAGATTATACCAATTAAGAGTTTCTGTTTTAGGATCCTTTGTGATGAAACATTTGTACACCTGCAAAAATATTAACCAGTGAAGAATTTTTTTTTTTTTTTTTTGGTTTTAGGCTCACTTCGGCAAATCATCTGTCGGAGGAAGAATAATGTAAAACATCAGAAGTTACGACTATGTTAGCTTGGAAGGTGCGCTGGAGCTTTTCATTTATCAGTGATTGTATAATACGAATTTCGGAATGTGAATGTCACCAAGGAGAGATTGAAGGGAGAATTATATTCAACTGATGCTTGTGTACTTTTTCTTATTGGTATTGTAACTTGTGAATTGTATCTATCATTCTACTAATCCACAAGTTATGTGAAGCTAAATTGTAAATTGGTGCCTCTCAAAGAAAATTTAATTCCTTATAAAAATAAAGAAACTTAACGGAGGTTCAAACCTTTCAAAAAGTATAGTCTGATTTCAAACATTTAAATCGTAGTAGATACATTTCATACTTTTCAAGAATATGCGCGGTACAAGGATCTCTAAACGGTTTCATTCCAAAAATGTTTGGAAAAGACGAAATGATAAATTTATTTCATTTTTAGCTTAAAAATTTAAATTAAAGGAGACAAAGATAAAAGGAAATTTCTTCCTCCTCCTCGCCATCATCCACTCACCCCCAACTCAACTTCACCCCACCCACAAAATAATCATCTGCATGAAAACATGGAGATGGATATTTTCTTATCTTGCCAGTGCTTAATTTATCTTGATTTCTAATAGAACAGAAAGGAAAACAGCTACTTGTCTTTTAGACTCTTTGCCTGTTAGCCACCCATAAAGGCAAGCTAATCGCCGTGTTGGTTATAGGGAGAGGGCATTTTTGTCTGTTCATGTATAGCGCTTTCATCTAGATGTTTTGCTTGAAATGTAAAGAAATACTCGATTAATACATATCATGACATGTTTGGTTAAGCTTAAAAATTACTTATAAGTAATTTTAGAGTAAACATATATTTATTGATCAAATTGTAAAATGAATTTTTTAATAAAAAAGTAAAAAATACAAAACTGTGTTAAAATATGTAACTCCTTATTTAGGTGTCATTTGACAAAACTTTTGATAGAAATTGATCAAATGACCATTTGACAGGCTTTCTACTTCTTGTAAAAGAGTTTCAAGATAAAACTATTTTAATATTTTTTAGAAAGATGTTTTAGAGTAAGTCATATTAAATTATGTAACTAAAATTAATTGTTAACTTTAATATCATCCTTGAGATTTTAACAACTTTCTAAGCTATCCAAACAATCCCTTATTTGGCCGGAAATGGCAAAATACATGTAAACGTACCCAAAAAAAAACAGAAATTAAAAATTAAAAAAGGCGCACGTTATAAATATGCGTCCACCATTTCAATTTTCTCTCGCAGCTCTACTGTTCTGCACTAGCCTCTCAACCCTATCTTCACTCTTCCCGCTGCTCTGTTCTGCTGCACAAATTTGTAAACATATATACACGAAAACACTCATCCAATGCACGCGCATATATGGTAATTTGCATAAATTTATGTTATTTCGAATGTTGCCAATAAAACCTAGTTCAATTTCCCCCCTCCCAAAACCACTGCCGGCATTCCCCGTTCTCTGCCCTCCTCCTCCACCGACCACCGCCTTCCGCTGTCAAGCGACCGTAAAGAACACGTTCCCTCTATGGTTGTTCAATTTGACTGCTGCTTCCGACGCCGCTGGCAGAATTGGACAAAGATTGTCCGATAATATTCGCGCCACCACTACGAGCAACATTAATGGCAAGAACTCGAAAATAAATGCGAAAGAGAAGTGGTCGCGCGACAGTGAGAGCTACTTGACTGACGATGGAGATGCCCTGCCTCTCCCGATGACCTACCCTGGCTCCTCCCCAGTGTCGCCGGAGGAAATCGACAAGAGGCTCCGGTGCGAGCCAGAGATAGAGGTCAGTTTGAGTTTTTCTCGAAGTGGAGTGTTTGTTATCCGATATGAACAATTTTGGAAAAAGTTCCATTTTGTCGTTTGGTTATCACCTGGAACTAATTAATATGTATCCCGTTTCTAAAGATGATTGTATATAATGTTTTCATACTGGTGGATTATGAATAAACTCTTGACTCTCTTGATGTTTCATTGTTCTTTTAATTGAAAATGATGATGCTCTATTAGGAAGAGGAACCATATCAATTTATTTTGATTCAAACTACTAAAAAGCTAATCTTCTTGTTGAAAATAGTAGGTTTTTTGCAGCTTTACCAGTGAAGCTCTGTAGTACTGATGTTTGAAGAGTCAACTGTGCTTAAATTTATGCTTTTCAGTCTCCTGTATTTTTTCTACAACAGTAGATTTCAAAATTCTTTGGTTCTGATATACATTATGATGTATAAATTGATATTCTTCCATTTGGATCCTGTTTTTCATTCTAATTTTTAATAATTCCTTTTGCTATGAAATTGCAGGATTGCAAGCCAATGGTTTATGAATGGACTGGAGTATGTCGGAGCTGCCAAGGAACTGGACTAGTCAGCTATTATAACAAAAGAGGGAAGGAGACCATCTGCAAATGCATACCTTGTATGGGCATTGGTACTACTATTCTCTATCTCCTTGTTTGGGTATTTAATTGATCTACTTGGGGAGTGAAAATAATTTTGTAACTGATGGACATGACTGTTCTGTTTTGCATATTCTTTTCCTCCATGGTGTGTATTGTCATCCAAAGAGGAGGCACAAGCCCGTAGTCTTGTCAATTTTGACATCATTGAGATTTTAGTGAGGGCAGAAGATTATAATTGTAGTCTTCTGCTTGGTACGGTGACCTGAGCTTCATTAGGAAATTGATTTGAAATCCCAAATCGTATAAATTATTCTTAATGCTGTGCTGAGTGGTCATTCTTCAATGCCAAAGTGTAGAGTTCTACTGAGTCAAATTTCAGCTCCTTTATCTGAATTTATTGATTGCTCATGTCGGGTGTCTGATTACATTTTGTGCAAAATGGATTGTCTGACCTTGAAATATTTAAAAGTGTTGAGTTCTCTGAGACAGAACCTCTATTGTTCTGTTAGGAAGGGAATTCTCTGTGTGTCCTTAGGATTGATGACCTCGTGACGCTAAGCGAGGATTGAAAAGGGAAAAATATTGTATTTTATTTATGGAACGATTTCACGACATTTTGGCTTAGCCTTTTGTTTTGTCTTGTGTTATTATGCTGCTAATAATTTATTCTCTACATTTTATTACCTTTTTACTGTTTATAGTGTTTCAACCATTTAATAATATGTTGGACATGTGCACTTCCCATCATTCATGGACCCTTTTTTTATTTATATTGTGTTTACTTAGAATCTTGGTGTAGAATAATCTTTACTGGACAGATTCTAAACATTAAAGTTTCCTCTACCTAGGCCTTGATCTAGTAGGATAACTGTTTTAGGTCTGTAAATATATATGCAATCTCTTTATTTGAATGGACTTGATCTTTGAAACTACTGGAGATTGTATAGTGGGATTTGCCCAACCTCAGTGAGAGTGATTGCGCTTCTTTCCTCTCATTTATTTCTTCTTCTTCTCATTCTCTCATTAGATTTAACTGTTCTGAAGTATTTAAAACCAGCCCAAAATCGTTCATTCTGTCTCTTTAATAAGTAAAATCTTCTTCCATCCATTGCCTTGCGTATTTAACTTGGAACCCAAAAATTTTTTCTTGTTCCCCTCTGAAATTGGTTAAAATCAGCCCTGACTCTCTCTCTCTCTTTCAAATTATCCTGTCAGAATCAAATTTTTATTTAGATCGCAAGAGAGTTAGGCCCAAAAGATTATCCTGCATGAACCTGTTGAAAGATGGATAAATCTATTTATAGATCGGTGAATGTTTGTCAGAGAAGGGACTCGTTAGAAATGAAAACATCTCATAAATTTGTGTGTGTGGGTGGGTTGGGAGTTTTTTTTTTTTGGGGGGGGGGGGGGGGGGGGCCTTTATATTGGTATCACAGTGTCATTGTCACTTGTCAGAGATTTTTTTTTTTTTTTTTTTTTGTTGGGGGGGGGGGGGGGGGGGTGGTCTACCAATTCCTCTTCTAAATTGAAATCCCTGCCTTCTAGTTTTGAAGCTGCCCATGATACTACAGAACAATTTAATATTGAAGAATCAAAAGATCAGAAAAAAGAACACAAGTTAAAATTATTCAAGAGCATGAAGAGGTGCCAACTTCAGTTCAACGCTCATCGTTTTAGATTAGACATGGTAGTTTCCATATTGCATCATTTTGGTTCCAACGTGAACTCTTCCCATTATAAAATGCAACACTCGTGTGCCATGGAAGTTTCCTCAAAACTCAAACGAACTTACCAATTCCACAGACTACTGTGAACATTTTTAGTGGTTCAAAGTTGCAAATGTTTCAAATTACTGATTCATTAATTCTACCACAGCTTTGTATTGAGACACTTCTTAAGCTGCAGTAGTAGTCTGATTTGCAAAATCTGTGTCATCTTCTTTCTAACGTTAAATATCTGGCTGTAGACCTCAATCACAATGCCGACATATATGTCTATGCAGGATATGTGCAGAAGATAACAGCACGCAATGACATTGATGTGATGGAGGACTTGGATAGTAATGGAAAACCACCTTGATGTAGATGCCATTTTCACTTGTAACATTTCAGATGAATAAGTCTTATAGTTGCGCCATTGAGGAGACGATCATTTTTTTTTGCTTCAGCACTAGCACAGGCCTCTAAAACAGCAAGAAAAGTTTCCCCACTGGGCTGTAACCCCAACTTTCTCATCTGCTCAAACAAAGCCAACCCATCGTCACCAAGCCCGTTCGCTGCATACCCATAAATCATCAAGTGCCAGGAATCCATATTCCGATCAGGCATGTGATCAAAAACTCTCCGGGAATCTGTCATACTTCCACACTTCGAGTACATGTCAAGCACCCGATTATTCAACAGAAGATCGCTCCTAAAGGTCGACCGCAAGAAGTAATCGTGCACTTTCTTTGCATCCTCCAATTTTTTCGAATTCCCACACAAACTAAATAGCAAGCTAAAACACTCAGCATCGGCTTGCACCCCATTCTCCATGTGTTCAATTACTTCTTTAACCTTACCCTCTCGGCACAGACTCAATAAATCAACAACTTGACTATTCACAGCATTCTGATCATGTGAAGTGGGGTTTTGCATTTGTAAATATCCCTGATTATGATTTCCACCTCCAGGCTGCGGATAATTCTGCCTCTGACGAAAGTTTTGGGGAGAACCCTGACTCTGAAACCCACCTTGTCGAGGATAATTTTGGCTCAAATTAGGGTTTTGGTTTTGTGGGAACCGATTATTTTGGTTGTCATTATTCCACTGGTTAACGTTACCACTCGCTGGTCGATAGTTCTGATTCTGAGGAGGGGGAAAATTAGGGGTCCGGTTAGGATCTCCAGGATACGGATTACCCCGATTCATACTATAATTATTTGCATAACTTTGATCTTTATAATTACTGTTCGTACTGGGATTTCCAAAATCATTGTTCTTCCACTGATCGTCTGGGATTTGATTAAAACTCCAAGAAGGATCGGAGGGTTGAGGGCTTGACCTCTGAAAACTCTCAGAGAAAGCTGAGGTGGAGAGGATTCTGAGGGTCGGGAATGAAGGATTTAGTTTTAGGGTTTTGAGGATAGAAATGAAAGGGAAAATAGGGCGTACCTTATTGAAGGAGAAATTGACAACTGTGCAAAATGAAGCTCTGCTAATGGACACTAGAGATGAAACCATTTTTACTCTGCAAATTATTGCTTAAACCATAGACAGTCAGTAGGAACTGATAAAACCCTACCAGTTTTCGGGGTACTTTTCAAATGGGCGGAGTCCATGGACAAATTTTGCATTTCGATCATTTTTTTTTTCCATTCATCACATTAACCTCTTGTGTTGAAAAAACAATTATGCCCTTATTATGTTTCATAATTACAAAAATATGTTAAATTTTTGAAAGACAATAATACCCTTAAATATTTAAAGAAATTAAATCAGTTCCCCACGTAAATTTCAAAATCAATTTTGCTTATCAATTTCTTCAATACAGTTATAAAGAAATTTTCTCTTTCATCTGCTAGAACACTGAAATCTCACAAAATTATCAAAAGTTCAACAAAAAAATTACTCATAGTCGACACTCGAAATTAGTAAGTGTAAATACGTATTTTTAATTTCGTTTTAGTTAAAGTAGTATACTGTTTGAATTTTTAAATCTTATTTTGACAAGGGCAGATGAATTATTACAGTAGTAAACACAGATGTATTATTTTTTTAGCAAAAACAAAGAAAGAAATTCATCTGTATTGCATATTATTTCAGAAAAAATTCATAGTATTTCGTTGGAAAAAAATTTCAGAATTCTAGGCCGGATGGAAAGATTTTTGTTTCCAGCCGGCCCGGACGTATGGGTCGCCTCCCTTTTTTTTGGTTATTTAATTATTTTTTTAATGTTTAAGATTTTATAATTTATTTGTTCATATTTAATGTATATTGTTATTGTAAATATTAATGAATATTTAATACTAATTGAAATAAATATTTTTGAAATAATTAAAATAATCAATGAATTATTATAAGTATAAAATTAAATTAAATATGAAATGAACAATTTAAAAAATTATGTATTAATTCCTTATGTTTAATCTATTATCTAATATTTTTAATTGTGGCAGATATGGTATCAGCATATATTTCAATTTGTCACTTCGATGAATTTCAAAAGAATGAAAATGCTCAGTGGGAATGAAAATTGACGAGTGAAGGAGACAGGGTTAAAGCAATTTTTATAACAAGTGGTACATCGTTTACAGAAATGTACCATTATATACAAACACATGCTTAACGTCGATCCCTCTCAATACAATATGGAATTGAGATTTTTGTTTTATAAGCATTCAACCATTCAAATTCCACCTATCAAAGTTACTTCTAAAGTGGAGATGAAGAATCTAATTAAATTGAACCAAGGTCGAAAGTCGACTCCTTTTTGCGTAACTTTATTGAGAAAGAATGTCCCCGAGGGTGAACACGAAGTTTTCGATGAAGAGAATCGCAATGTAAATAATGTTTGAGATACAATTCAGATTGTTCGTGAAGATGATGTGATTATTCCCGAAACCACTGCTACTCCCCATGATCACACTGTTATGCACATAATTCTATCGGCAGTTGAAGACAACGAGAATGAAAATGCATTTGCAAACGACGATTTGATTGCTTTATCCCGTAGGAGACATGAGTCGGGCGGGAGCTCACAGGTTGGACCGAGTACACGATCCTCTAATTGTTCACGTATGATTCTCGATGATGAAGATGTGTATGTCGAGCAACTTTTCGAATCAAAGAAAGAATTGCAAGAAGCTGTGCACCTGATTGTTTTAAGGCATAACTTCGAGTTCAAAGTGAAGAAATCAAACAAGTCGACGTACACAATTATTTACGTTGATGACAGTTGCCATTGACATTTGTGAGCAACGAAGATAGACACGAATGAGTTCTTTGTAGTTCGTAAGTATGCACGAAAACATTCTTGCGAAATGGGTATTCGTCGAAATGATCATAGGCAAGCCCAATCATGGTTCATTGGTCGAGAAATAATGCACAAGTTTCAGGACCCAAGAACAATTTACAGACCTTCGGATATCATTATGATTTTTCAATTAGTATTAAGAACAATCGTTGTTCGTTTTATAAAGATGATATCTTTTATGGTCGTTGTATATTACAAAATGGCTTTTACATTCTCGATACTGAAGCATCTATTAGGAGTATAGAAAATAAAAGACATAAAAGTGATGATCTAAATAATACAGATCTCTGGCATTGTAGAAAGGGTCATATCAACGACAAACACATTTTCAAGTTACATAAAGATGGATAGTTGTGCTGACTTTGAATCATTTGATAAATGTGAGTTGTGCCTGTTAGGCAAAATGACCTAATTTTCTTTTACTGGAAAATGAGAAAGAGCTACAGATCTACGGGGATTAATACATACTGGTGTAGTGGACCCATGTCAATCACCGCTAGAGGTGGTTTCTCTTACTTTATCACATTTACTGATGATCATTCTAGATATTGTTATGTATTTCTGATGAAGTTCAAGCATGAAAGAATTTGAAAAGTTCAAAGAATTCAAATTTGAAGTAGAGAAATAGCTAGAAAAAGATATTCTCACGCTGAGATCAGATCGAGGTAGAGAATAATTTAAAGGGAAAATTTTAGATTATCTAAGAGAGAATGAGATTCTCTCGCAGTGGACTCCGCCACACACATCGCAACATAATGGTGTATCTGAATGAAGAAATAGCACATTGCTGGATATGGTGTAATCAATGATGAGTCATGCAAACATCCCAAAATTGTCTTGAGATCATACATTGATTGTTGCGTGCTACACATTAAATCATGTCCCATCTAAATCGGTTAATAAAACTCCTTACAAGTTATGAAGAGGAAAAAGACCCAACTTATTTCATATGAAAGTTTAGAGCTGTGACACTTATGTGAAGCGAAATGAATCGGATAAACTTGAGGTTAAATCCAATAAATGCATATTTGTGGGATATTCAAAATAAATAATTGGATATCAGTTCTATAATCTCATTGAGAAGATGATGTTCATCTCAAGACATGCCACATTCCTAGAGAAATAGTTTATTCTAGGAGAGGATAGTGGAAGCAAAATACAACTTGAAGAAATTCATGAATCCATAGATATTGTTGACCAATTAGATGAACTTGAGTTTGGTCCCACACTTATTGAGGGAAAGACTCTTGATCAAGATGTAGAGACTCTTTAGGACACTCCAACTCATCGTAAATCAAGTAGGATCATTCAACCTCCCAGAATGTACGAATTCATGATTACTAATCAAGTATTATTAGTCGAGGATGATGAACTTACTAATTATGCAGAAGCAAAGTCAAGTGTTAACTCAAAGAGATGGCAAAAGGCCATGAAACTCAAAATGAACTCAATGTATGAGATCAAGGTTTGGACTTTGGTCGACCTTCTTAGTGGGATAAAACCTGTAACGCCCCAACCCGCATGGACGAAAACGTCACTCAACCATTGTACCTTAGTCGTAAAGTTAGTTCAATATATTTTTAGTAGAAGGTATAAAGATTTAATTTTAAAATTTAATTAAAGAATTTTCCTTTTTTTTATTTAAACAATAATTCAATTCCAAAAGAAAACAATTTCAAAAAAATGTTTTTAGAATGCGTTCCATCATGTAACGACTATTGACGTGAAATTTTGGCAAAACTTAAAAAGTAATGTTGTTGTTCCAGTTTTTTGTCTCAAACAGTAATTGTCAAAGTAAATTTGTTTTCATAGCTATCGATTTTGAAACTTCATCAAATTTTAATTTAAGGTAGTAAACTCCTTATAATATGACATAGTCAAAAACTAGCTTCCGTCGACATCATATGGGGTATTAAAATATTTTTCAAAACTCAGCAGCGACCCGATTGAAAGGTAAACCGGTGCAGTTCACTTAAAATGGCATATAAAATTCCACCGACTTCAAAACTACATTATTTCAAATTTATTCAGTAGCTAATCCATGAGACTATCAAATACAATTGGTTTCATCCAAAAATTTCAAATAACGAGTGAGTTATGAATTTTTCAAAACAAGGGTAGAAGCTGAAGAACAGAGCCAGCACCTAGCACAGTTTACTTTATGTGACATATAACCTTTTACTGATATTGGATTGACATGATTCCAATTTTATTCAGTATCTAACTTATTAGGCTATCCAATCCAATTGGTCTTGTATAAAAATACAAAGTAACGAAAGAGTTATGATTTTTTTTAAAGGTGAGGCAGAAACTGAAATTTCTGAAGGGACATCAAAACTTTAAGTCGCTAACTTTTTTTTATACTATGATTTGTAAATTTATTCCTATAACATATATCTACTTTCAAACATAATTTATTCATAATGAGTGTTCGTAAAATAGATCCACACAATATTCATAGGAATCAAATTTAAAGAAAGTGTAAACATCTCAAAATCAACTAAAAATGTAAATCACCGGATTCTCCATGACATGTTGCATCATCCTTTACCATCATCTACGCCCCAAGGAAAATTCATTCAACCCGTAGGAAGGGAATTAACCCATGAGTTTGAAACTCAATAGATATCATTGGTGCAATTCGTTATCAAATTAGAAATTTCGAACTATAGATTCATACCGTCGCACGTAGATAGATTTTCGGCAAAATTCAATTACTATAGCATTATCATAACACGTAGAGCCGGAGAATGATCATTCAAACTGTTGTAGTGCCAAAACACCGTACCCGAAGGTACCATTTCATTTAAACATTTATCGAAAAATCAGATTTGAAAACGAATGAACACCTGCACCTCTACCTACCTTGAATTTTTTTGGATAAAAGAACAAGAAAGCCTTCCTTCTTCTCACTCTTGTTATTCCTTAAGCTTAACTTGATATGAAATATATTTTTTTGAGAGAAAATGAGATGAAATTTGGATTTGAAGAGGAGTGTAATGAAAAAGTGACATTCCACTTCTATAACATTTCTTTTTAATGAAAAATTAAGTGGGGGAGTTGTATTATCATTAAATTTATTAAATTTAGTCTTTAATTAAGAATTTGAAGAGTCTCTAAACCATAAAAATAATTCATATGAAAGTTTTATAAAAAACATCTACATGGTGATTCGAACCTGGGTTGCCTATATGAAATACCATGTAGA